AGCACACTGTAGTGACAACTCAGTGTCGTGTTGCTTGGATGGATTTTTTTTTTGGTTTGTATCCATCAGATCCAGCTTATTCTGCATGAACTGTTTTGAAGATTTTTTGTTTGAAAATTCCCCAGAGGGTGACATTGAACTTTTAAAAAAAAAATCATGCATCCATTATCTGTTGGAGAACATCTGAACATAAGCTTATGAATGCAGCACTGTTTTTTGTGGCTCACACTCAAGTGCTACATGTTGGAGCTTTCCACCACCGTGTGAACTTCCCGATCTTCGTGCACGGTGGAAACTCTTAATACAGCTGCATAAAAATATCAGAGCAGCCTCACGCAGTTGCCTAATTATATCTGCGTAATAAAAGAGCCTCGCTGCTGCTGCTGCGGCATGCACAACATCATCTGTCTAACGTGGAATGTTAAGCCCAACCCTAGGTATGGGGAAGAAGCTTGTTAGGTGTTGCTTTTTCCTGCAAAGGTTTCCACAGGGCTGAAACATGTTTATCCTCTTTTCAAGTAGCAAAGTGAAAGCAGGTGAAATTTCCTATTCACTCAGTGCACCGATGTCCATGTTCTTGGCCATAGCAGCATGCAGTGGCATAGAAAGCATTCACCCTGTTATAATGTGCCTCTTAGCTTTTTTTTTTTTTTGTATTTCTTGGAACTTCGTTTTATCCTTGACACTTTAATCTCTTTTCTGTGCAGGACTTTGGTGCGTTCACGTCCCCTCAAGTGGAAACGAGTGGCTCAACCAAAAGTGGCTGTCAGATGGTACATTTAATGATCTTTGTGTCGTTATTTTTAATTTGAATGCCAATTGTTTGTTTTCTTAAGCTTGATTTTTTTCCCCCTCACACACATAATTTATCTTGTCTCTTTGGCTCTGTTTTTTTTTTTTTTTTTCCTTTGGACGTGGATTTGGGAGAGCAAAATATTACACAAGGCCATCTCTTCTCTCCTGCCAACCCTCACTGGCTTACAGTAACATTACGCCCACTGTGTCCAGGCATAGCACGATCACATACAGGAAATTGATTTTTCTAAAAGAAAGCAGCCTCTTGCTACTGTCTACTGCTCTACTTCATTTGAATGAAGAACCACCGACCATTATCTTAAACCAGCTGAAGTGCATATTTCAGTTTTGCCTCAGTAATCTTTGTGCAGTGCAGATAAAACAAACCAAAAAAAACACTGTATTGTCATGTGTTTTGTAAGAGCCGGTTTGTATCCAGACAAAAACCCTCATAGCTGGTTCACTTGCCTTAACAAGCTCTTGCACAATGAGAGAGTGAGATTTGTTGGCAAACAGAAATGATGGGTGTGTGCTCTCACTCCCTCAGATTGCAACAGGATTGGTTTAAACAGAAATGTGCCTATGGAGTAGGGCCAGGCCTCAGCAAATACCACCCTGAACTCTTGTGAAGAAGACCAGACAAAACAGTCCTTCCTCTTTTTTTTTTTTTTCCATTTGTTTTGTCGCAGATCGACCAACCTTGTAGTCTTCAGATCAGTGATTTTTTTTAATTTCCTATCATGCAGAGTTTATGTATCTTGCATAGAGTAATTATGATGCAGGTTCTGTGTCTGCCAACAATGTTACCAAAACACCTTTGTTGCATTTGTCTGTTTTCAGTAAATACAACGCCTGAGCTGGAAATACCTGCACATTATAATGCTTCCCTGTATCGGAGCCCACAAACGGTTAAAAGATTTATTGTTGGCACATCCAGAGCAGGCAGCAGTCGGTGGTGGGAGGAGGCTATCCTCTCTGTCTCCAGCTAGATTGGCTGCCATCGCTCATGTTTTGTTTGGTATCTGCACAGCAAATAGAGAAGGATTTCTCTGTCTGTTTACATGATACTGACCTTGCAAAGACAGACTTATAAACACGCAAAGTCATAATGAAAAATATTGTTGCTACGGTTTAACTAATGGAAGAGCTGATTGTCTGACAGTGAACCCGATGGTGCTGTTACCGACTGGTATCAGTGGTGAGGCCATTTAACGTAGTGCTCCTGACCAGCATAACATGGTGTCTTATTAAGAGAAACACAGCAGTAGATTTTGACTGCAAAATCAAATTTATTCACCATACACGATTATTGATGCATAAATTACAAACCTGGTTATTCAGCATTTGTCTTTTTTAGCTCTAATTAAATCTTGTAAAGGTGTATATGGGGACATAGTGAGGGAACACTGCTTAGGATTTAGTTGATTTGAACCAACCAAAAGGCCCTCCTGGCGACAAAAAGGGTTTTTTATCAGTAATTCTTTTCATTAACTTTGTGTCCCATCATAAAAGAACATTGCCCTCATAGCACTTTGCACATGAGAATCACATGATCGCGCTGCCTTTTTATGAGACGCCATTAACTGCTACAGTATGGTAAACAAAACAGTGTCTCGTACATGTGGAGAAAAAAAAGGAGAAGTAACTGGAAGGGTAGGCCCCCCCACAAAAACTGCAATCAGTGGCTGTCATTTCACAATAAATCTCTTTACTCATTCAGCATGGCCCCTTTGCTTTGCAGAGTGTTTTTTTTTTTTGTTTTTTTTTCCACTGCTTGGCTCAGCAGCCCTCTCACATAACACAGTGGGTACACGCTGAATGCTAACCACGCATTTGCAGTCCAGGAAAATAAAATGCTTCCTTATTGTCTTTCAGGGAGTGCGTCACATCCGCTCGGCCAGCCCCACCAAAGGAGTGTCTGCAAGGAGCTCACTGCCCCCATGTCCCCAGTCTGCTCCAGTGCAACTAAAGACTAATTCAGGTTCACCCAAAACTATCTTCCCCTATCCCTCATACCAGAACTCCCCACCCAAGTCCCCCCGTCGCCTGAGCTTCAGTGGTATCTTCCGGTCATCCTCCAATTCTCCAACTGCAAGCATCAAAATCTTTTCCAGAACCAGGAGAGGTAAGTAGAATAGAAGAGTGCAATGCCCGACCCTTGTTTATGCAAACTGAAAAGGCGACTGCAGCACTAATTGGTTGGATTATCAATAACGGGTTTTTTTAAATGAGGAAAATGATGACATATTTTAAGATCGATCTAGGAGGAAGACACAGTAGATGACACTGTGTTTGTCTTGAAGATTTTTTGGGTTTCCTGCTCTACATGCAAGTTAAAACCACATACAGGAACCTGTGTACATCTGATCGACCTCATGGCTTCAGATCTTCTGCTGCTTGAGACCAAACTGATACGAAAACCCGTGTAGCAGCATTTTTTGCAGCTTCGAAACAGAACATTGTTTCACCAATAAGAGACAGAAGTCTAGGTTTCTTGTTGATAAAAACAGAAAAAAATCCACTGCTTTGTTTTGCGGTGACAGATGACTTGATCGTGCAGATAGACGTCCCTTCATCATCAATCATCTCCTTCCGTATGTCAACAGCTCACTCGAGGAAGAGGAAATTGTTGTTATTGTCAGATCAAGTTATCAGTCTCCAACATTAGGTGCAGAGAAAGCATTTTGTTATATTAAGTTACACGTTTGGCATCCCACAGGTGGGAGCGCAGCCACAGTACATTCTCCAGCTGCCATTAAAGCTCATTAATAGCATAATCGTAATAGTGGTAAGCGCAAATACGTAAAAAATGAGGCAGGCTAGGCAGAACAAGGCCTTGTTTCATGAAGAACAGACCTAACTGGCAGATTTTCAGCTCTCGTGGCTCCATGCATTTGGGTGGTTGATCGTTGCATAACGCAAAACAGCCCGGTCTGCATGGAAACAGCCCTCGCTGGAAGCAGCATCAAGCAGCTAAAGGGATGAGTCATATGTTTTTTGGCTCACACATATACCCATTCTTTTCTGTTTCCTTGCAGAGGGTCAGTTTGGCAGTGGTTGGTGGAATAGTTCTGTTAGGGCCAAACCTTAAGAGTCAGCGTGCTCCGTTTCCTCCGGAGATCATTATTGATGGTAACCGAACTAAAACACAGCAAAACACACACCGCTGCTACAACGACAGCTGCGAAGGATTACTAGTGGACAATATGGTTTGAGACATAGCATCCTCTTTTCTGACTAATGATGTGGCTTTAAATGATCAGTGATCACAGCGACAAAGTATGCTTAGAACTGAATGTGTGCAGCGACTGAGTGGGCACGCCAGCTTCTCTGTTTTTATTAGTGGAGTGTTTTTGTAGACACCCTGCTTTCGCCACAAGGGTGTGCTGAAGGCATATTCTTGTCTTTACTTGACTTTCATACTGCTGGTAATAAAGCTGTCATCGCTTCAGCGCCTCTACACTATTACATCATTCAGATTTTTGTAAACACATTTTGCAGAATTGAATGAAAAACCTGAGCGTCAGATTTTGTATCATTAGCCGAGGGCAACAGGTTTGTTTTTTTTTTCTCTCAGGTGTATTTTTATCTTCATTTGCTCCAAATATGACCAGAATGTTTCTCCATTCCCTGCTGGTCTAAATATGTGTTTTCCCATCGCCTGGACTTTGTCAGCCTCTCACTCCTGAAGGCAACTGGAGCACGTTTATACCCTTATCTGGAAGTGTTCAGACTCTCAGGAGCTCCTCACACAGCCATGCAGGGATTTTTTTCTCCTCTCTCTCACTCTCCCTGTTGCTACTGTGAGCTGTATGTTGTCAGTAAATAAAGGAACTGGGGCAGTTTTGACTGTCTAAATTCATAAAACACAGGCCTTACAAGGGCAAGAAGATTTTTTTGATAACGATTTTTTTTTTTTTTAATAGACATGAACTCACATATGAGTTTATTCTGTAACCACAACACTTTGAGCTTAAACTTCACACTGGGAAAACTTTAAATTAAATTGAAATTAATTAATTTTGTTAGCTTAATGTAAATGTTGTGAGAATGGCAGTGACAGGATGTTTGAGCTGACTGATTTCGTCTGAATCTCATATTGGCCATTGACCCACTGAGCCGAGTGGAACACTTGCATAACATGTTAATTGAGAGCTGTACTGGACATGCTTTCGCTAATGTGAGCAGCGAATACTGAGTGGGCCATCTGTTAAGGGTAGGAGAGGGTGGTGGTATTGAATGGAAGCTTTCTGATCAGCTGACAGAACATGGGATGTCCCCCTGCTGTCATCTGACGGGGGCTGGACTCAGCACTCTTAAAGGTCAGGCCCCCAATAGTTACAGACAACTGACTGTACAAATGACAGAGACGCAGGACTTGCAGCTACAAGCTACAGCCTTTGCTGCCTGATATGTGATTCCTCTTTAGGTTGAACTGCAATTTAAGACAACTGTAGGATAAAAGAAGCTTTTATCTCAAGAAACATTAAGACTGTGTTATTCTGGAAGTATGTTGCATTGTGTGAAGACGGAGTGAAACAGATGTTCCTGTCCTGAATTTACTCAGTGGGAAGAAGGAGGGCAGTGAGAGGGGCGGGGAGATGCGCAGCCTTAGCCAATCAGTAGTCTTTCCTTCAGCGACTGGCCTCCTTTTACAGGCTGCTGACACGCGTGCTATATTAAAGAGACGCCACCCACAGCTGCACCTGACAATTCACAGCACCGACACCGCTGAGAGGGAGAAAGGCACTCCAGTTCGTCCCCGTTGTTACTTGCATCACTTTCAAGAGGGACGGATCTCTGCTGAGACTCCGTGGATTTTTACAGCTTTTGTACTCGTGTCTTTTCAAACCAATGTATGAGCACTTTTCTCTTTGCTCAGTTTTTTTTTTTTTTGCCTGGGTATACCTTCTTAGCGTCTGACTTACTGTGGTTGTCGTTTTCTGCTTGGAGCTAAGTGAGCTGCATCCAAAAAAAAACAAAAAACAAATGTCCAGATTTTCTCCTGAAGATTAACAAGAAGTCAGACAACAACCATCACATACATCCATCCCTCATCCACTTACTGAAAGCAGACAGTTTCTAGAGGACCATCTCTTTCTTAAAAGACAACTTACAGTTGGATATACTTTTCAGTCTAATTCCTGCACAACTTTCTTCATCGGGCAAATGGAGTGACTCTCACTTGGTGCAGCTCTGAGCCACTGTTGTGCTCCTTTCGTGATGCAGATGGTCATGGTCACATTTACTTTTGAGCCCACAACCCACTGCGTTTCATGAAGAGGTTTGGCAGCCTGAGGAGGAGCAAGAAGCGGAAGGAGCAGGATGGGCTAGGAGGGAGGCATCAGTCCGAGGCGTCATGTCTGGCCGGTAATGTGCTGTGCTCTGCACCTGCTACAGTAGTCCGTGTTTATCTGTGAATGTACTGCAAGATTCTTGGATCTTGTGTTTGCTTTCTGCTCTGAAAGACAATCACATGCCAGTATCCCCTTTAAAGACTTAACATTTATAATCTACCTTTGAGTAATGCTGCTTGAATATCCCTAACATTTAACACAAGTGTTATTCTCCAAACTTCAAATACTGTAAAAATAGAGCAGCCATTTTTAAAAACTGGCATTAATCTGTTCTTATCCTATATATGTATAGGTACTAAATGCTATTTGTTGTACACACTACATGCGGTCCATATGGTTTAGGTGCAGGTTACACAGCTAATCTCTGGTTTCACGAAAGCATGCATTGCATCCGCATAAAGTAGCAGGACACAGGTCAAAAGCGGTAAGGCTATGTTTGAGGAGCCGCCGTGGGCAAGCAGTTGGCCATCACTCTGCTAAAGTCATATACATACATCACAATAACTAGACACAGTGTTTTGTTCTTCTTAATTGATACGTCTCCAATAATTTAGTGATAATGTGGTATGTTAGTTTAATGTTTTAACAAACCAGAACAGCAAAAATGACATTTATTTATTTTGTAGTCATCTCATTATCTCGGGAGTGTCACTTTTAGCCAGTCTACCTGGTAGAGTGTCACGTCAATGTCATTATTTCTGTCCCATATCCAAAGGGAGTTCAGAATAGCTGCTCCATTTTGAATACTTCATTAAAATAGACAGGAAGCATTGCAGCATATGTGGGAATGGCCAGGACAGACTGAAGGGTTGAGTGATTTTGGACTATGTGTGGCGGCATTATCTCCACATTTAATATTTTTTTCAGGTTTTCCTGATAAGAAGCAACTGGATGTGATTTCTAAAAGACAGACCACCGTTCGGATGTAAAAATGCAGTTGCTGCTCATGATGCTCCAAGAATGAAGCACTGGGCCAATCTTTGTAGCGTTCAAGTGGTGCTTTATCACAGGCTTCACAGCTCCTGATTTAGAGCTAGTCTGACCTCGGTTGAGTAGATGAGAGCAGCAGAGACCTGTCATGATGATGGGCGACCATTTGTGGCCGTAGAGATGTAGAGTTCATCGTAAAGGCAGAATACGAGGTGATGACACCTCGGCCTGAACCGCAGCTCTTTGATCCAGAGCCTCCATACTGTTGAGGCTGGAGCCATATTGCTCATATTGTTCTCTGCTCCCTTTTAGAAAATGACATTCGCGTGTGAAATCTGGTAGAGGCCAATTAGAGGACATCTGTGTGCCTCTCAGCAGTACTTTGTATGTCAGTGTGAACTGTGACTGCTCATTTACATGTTTGCCAGGATGCAGCTGGCACACCTGTGTGATTTTACAACCCTGTCATTGCTGACACTGTCAACAGTCGCCTCCTTTCTTTTGTCAGGAATTCAGTATTACAGTGTTCCATGCAAATTAGTTTAAACCCTCGATGCTAATTGGGGTCACGACTGTTCTATTTCCCAATGCTTCACAATCTACACAATAGCTCTCAGCAGCTCACCTGTATCAGCATAGCCATTCACGGTTTAGGCTCATTGTATGAAATGTCTGTCCAGAGAAGGCAGTAGTAGCTTGTTCACTGCAGCTGTAGTGGCCTCACTACTGCTCCAAGAGCAACTAATGAGGTCTGCGTTGCTCTCAGTGTCAGCGAAGCTCCATGTCAACTCCTCAGGGGGCACTCAGACTGAGAGGATCTGCTTTTATAGGCGGTACAGTAACACAGCACTGCAGTAAATTGTGTTAACACTACCAGAAGACATAAACCTGGTTACAGAGCTCCGAATAACTGCCCATAGCTTGTATGTTTTAAGCAATTAGCATTAGGACTGCAAGGATTATTTTCGTATTTACTCTTTTTTGGTCTATAGAATGTAGAATAATGTTCTGAAGCCCAAACTTACACCATCATATTGCTCGCTGGACTGTCCAAGCCCCTAAAACACGGAGCCTGCAGTGATATAAACCAGGGATTGTTTGGTTTTTTGCAGCTGTTTTTGGGATTATTATGAAATCATTTGTCAAAAAATAATCTCCTAAATTGATCATTTGGCTCTTTTAGCTCTGGATTCAGATTAGTGCTGCAGTTAGAATTTATTTTTGTGATCATTTAATGTGCTTATTATAAAATAGTGGGGAAAAAAACGCCCATCAGAACTTTTGTAAATCCCAAGCTGGCATCTTTACATTGCTCTGGTCTCTTACTAACAGTGCAAAATCCCAGTCTAGTAGGTTTACTGTCATATATTCATCCTCATATCTGAGAATTGGAACAAGAGAGTGTTTGCTGTTTCTCCTTAGAAAATGTCTTATCAGTCATGTAAGGGGTTGCAGATTAATTGATTAATTACACTAATCATTTCATCTCTGATCCAAAGATGCGCATAATGACGTGACACGGTAAATGGTATTTACTCAGATTACTAGGCTAAAGAGCGATGAGGAATCAGTGCAGCTTTTGTCTCCCTACACAGGCGGAGCTCTGCTTATTAAATGAGAACATTTATCTGTTCTGGATTAGCTTGATTCTGAAATACAATGTAAAGTACTGTGTCAGGCTTTTTTTTTTTTTTTCTTTTCTGGTGCGTATAAAGTAGGACTGCACTACTTACAGCCAGGCATCCATTTCCTGTTTCCTGGGCGGTGCCTAGCGCCCCTATTAGCCGGGCCGAGGAGAGGGCTCCCAGCCCTGCTGTTATCTGCTCCTGTGGAATGTGCCACAACAGCGTGGCTAAAATAAGAAGGCTACACAGCGGAAGCAGGGCATGCCAAAGAGGGCCGGTGCACGCCAACTAAATGTCAGGAGATAGTGTGGAGTGCAGTTGGACAGAGCGAGGTAAAATGTTCGCTCGACACACGGGGCCGCCTTTAAGAAAAACCTCTCATAACCTGAATCCATTGTTATTCACTCTTTAGATTTTATGTAATTAGTGACAGAAGCATCGAAGCTGCTGTAGTTGGTAGAAATCAGGAGTAAAGTCACAGTCGTACTGATCCCATTACAGAGACCTGAAATCTAACTCACTTAGGAGAACAGCTGGTTAAACTTTGAATGATGATGCTTTATTTTTTAGTCATATTTCAATATAACCTCTGATTTACTTTGTTTATACTGACTGAGTCAAGCCTGATTAACCCTCTTCTTACCTTCAAATTTACTGACATCTTTTATCCTTGGGTTCAGTTTGAGCCAAGCAATTTAAACCTCCAGAAAATATCCAAATAAAAATTGTTACCCAAGTTTATGTGTATGTCCGTTTAAATAAAACTGAAAAAATTATGTCAGTGACTTATTTAGAGATGTTAAACATCGAATGGGGTCAAATTGACCCCAAAGATAATAGGAGGGCTAACAGAAGCTCTTATCATGCTGGTGGAGTCCTCATATGACATACATGCTGTTTGGTTTTACTATCACACCACTGTTGGCTATAGTAAAAGTCATCAGGACATCTCACGGTGGGGCCGGTGTAACGCGAACCTCCTTGGACCTCATCACGCATGTCACTCATTGTTTGGCCTCAGAAATATGTCACTGGGGTGGAGCCAGGACAGCGTGAGTGTCGCATGTCGGCCTGCGTAAGATTGTGATGCCTGATGTGAAAGAGCGTGTGCGGGCTGTCATGTGACGGACAACTTTAATCCGACACTACTGCACAAAGAGCTGCGTCACACACAGCTGACAGTTAACACTGGATCCAGGTTTAATGTGCTCATGTTGTAACCAGCCTGCTCGCTATGGAGGGACGCCAGGGGCAGTAAAAAAAAAAAAAAAAAAAAAAGAGACAACCTGCATGATTCATTGCTTCGCCCCACCAATATTGATCCATCAAGGATCAAGGGTTCTTCGTTAACATAATCAGGAGGATGCTGATGTCAACAACTGTTTCACTGCAATGCTGTCGAAGAATATTCCACAAGAACAAATACAGCCTTTATTTACAATAAATATAATCAGTTAATTAATTAATGCATTTAAAAACACAAGACTAATAGTAGAATCACATTCAGATGTATATTAGTTTATAGTGCGATGAGTTTATGAGGTTTTATAGAAAAACACATCATCAATCACATTTTATTTTCAAGACGTGCATTTAATTAGTCTCACTAAGGATTTAATGAGATTCCAACCCGGTGAGAAGTAAGAGGAGCTCACTGGTCAGATTCTGGATTCAAGCCTCCACTTCCTGAGCACAGAGGAAAGCTGCAGCATCGTGTAGCACATTGAGTTTACCAAGACTTAAAATACGAGAGTGTTTTAACTTAAAGTGTGCGTGAGAATGAATTTTTAACAAAAAACAAAAAAAGACACAAAGCAGGTGGAACACTGTAAACAGACGAACAACAAACAAAAGGCTCCGAACACCCGCGCATGTGTTTTCACTTCTGCTTAATTAGACTTCAGCTCCGGTTGACTGTAATTACATTCCCACACAGTCATGAGAGGAGGTCTGATGCAGAATAAGCAAAAACACCACCTTAGTGTATTTCTCAGTAAATGCACGACTGAAGCTTCCTGAATTTCATGACGTATTGACAGCAAAAAGAAAAAAATAGTGATTATGACGGCACACTTCAGCTTGCATACATTGGGAACCCTTTGTATGATTTAGCAAATGTCAGGGGTCAGTTTGTTTGTTTTTTTTTTTTACTTTCATTCACATTAGATTGAAATAAAATCATAATAGAGAGATGTTTTTTTTCAGGACCAAATATTAGTCATAAATAATAGTAAACGTGAAAATTGTTTTGGAAAAATTACACAGACGTTTGCTTCACATATGTGAAAATAAAGAGAACTTTTAAACATGTACTCATCAGCTGTTACTTGTGAAGTGTGACCAATCAGGTGGGATGTTACCTGACGCCAGAGAGTGTTGGTCAGAGCAGGAACAGGGACATTTTTAAGTTAATTTATTTTATCTGGAAACAGTTTTTAAAAAGTAACAATACCAATAATTGGAAAAGTGCTGAATGTTTGTATTATTATAGTAATTAGTCGCCCTTAAGTTAATGTAACTGAAGCTATCTTTGTAATGCGGTTTTACCTATTGCTCGTGTATCCCTGTCTGTCAGCAGCTGGGCTGAAGCTTTAATGCTGTATCTGTGTTGTTTGTCAGCACTCAGGACTCTCCCAGTTCACGATGGGTCACATATGCATTCCTTCTCTGTTATAGCATGTGACAGCATTGATGGCATCTGCAGCAGTCACAGTTGCAGCGCCTCGGTCTTATCAGCTAAGCCGATCAACGGCGTCAATCAGTGCCTGCTGCGTCTCGGTGTCTCTGGAAGCGCAGTATGGATTGACATGGAGAGAAACAGGAGATAGAGCTGAGCTATCTGTACTGAAGCTTATATCTCTCTCTGCAGCCTCTGGACTCTCCACGCCGCCCACCACCCCGACCCAGGCGTCCAGCCAACCTGTGTTAACCCAGGAGTCCCAGCAGAGCGGCCCCAGCCCTGAACGCCTGGAGTCCATCTCTCGCACCCGCTCCCTCTCCACACCTCCAGACACAGGACAGCGCCTCAGCCTTCCCTCTGCTAAACCCCCGATCCCTTCATCGAGCCCTGTGCCATCTTACTCTACCTCACAACAAGTGAGTCACACTGCAGAGAATGTGTTTTCAGAAATAAATTTGAATTGGAATGGCAGAATGTATGTTTTCTGTGTGCTTTGGGACACTTCAGTCAGTGCTTGTGTGCTTCGATCGATAAGTTACTGGAGGTCCAACTCAGTTGATTCATAGCCCGAACAGAGAAGCCAAAAGATAAACGGGGTATGTGCACAGCATCTTAAGGCTCCACAACAGTCAGGGCTCCTTTTGTTGTTTATGGAGCAGAGATTTAATCAGTGACATCACAGCCACAAAAATAGTGCAGACGTCACCTCTGCAGTTTTTAGGTTCAGGAGGGAATGTTTCACAAGTATTGACTGAACTATTCTGGGCCTCTTGAATGAACTGAGGGTTGCACTAAATCCTCCTTCCTTGTAGGTAAAACGTTGCATCTTTCCACTCGTTCGATATCAGTGGCAGCGATGAAACTCCGCGGGTCATGGGATGTTGACGCTGATAAGTACTTTTCGTTTGTGGCTGCATAACAGTGGCTTAACGCGCCTTCCCTTCATGAGTCATGCGCTTCTTTACTCAGAGTCATAAGAGTTTATTTGGACAGTGGTGAACAGAAGGCATGGATGCAAATGTCTCACATTTAAGCGCCGTTACTTGAGCATTCTTCTCGTGTCAACAGGACGGCGTTTGCAGCACTCGCAGCGAGCACCAGTGGCAGAGCTGAGGGCGTAAATATTGTCGTGACATTTAAGCCATATCTCAATCAGGATTAGATGTCAGCTAAGTGACTGCACAATTGACTGCTGCAGCAAGAACAGCTGAGAACACATTCAGTCTTTGTCACAAGACTTTTTCCTGAAGCTTTATTCGGATTCTGGCGGTCTGAGTCAGGATTTGATACCAGATTTCCTTCGGCTAAAGAGGAATTACTCGGTAACTCCCCGTGCCATTTTAATGAATAATTATCTGAAGACCTGTCTCAGCCTGTCTGCTTTGAGTGATTGTGGATTCTAGCCAGAGTTGGTAAATCAATATTTCATCACTGTTGATATTAACACCCAGGGACTCGTGATTGTGGTTGAGGAGGGATGAGTCAGTGCCCGTCAGCCCCTGTGTGCCTCCCCCATCATGCATTAGAGAGCCTCACAAAATAATCCTCCGGAGTTGTAGTTTACCTTTTGCCAAATCCAATTTTAAAAGCAATTAGTTTAATGGATTTGTGTACGTCTGCTTCCCTGAGGTTTGCTGCTGCAATACAAAAGCAGGGCGCGTGCCTGCTGTGATGCTGCAGGGTGAGATTTATGGAAGTGCAGGGGTTTGGTTTTGGCGAGAGAAGCGCTGTGTCACCATTGCGGGCGACGCTGGGGACCGCTGAGCATCCCGGAGCAGGTATGCAGCTTTTCTCACACTGCTGCAGCAGCTTGGTGTGAATGTGCTTGCAAATTAGGGACCAAAGGGAAATCATGTATCAACAAGCACCCTTTGAGTATGCAAACCTCTCAGCATGACACAGCATATTTCATGCTGGGAACTGGGAGATGCAATTAGCACAATGTGCAGACATATTCTCATGCTGCTGCTGCTCCAGCCAAGGTCCCAGAGACTTGGTTTAGGAGACATCAGTCATGTGTGTCGTTTTGTCTCAAGATTTTAACTTTCTTGAGGATGTGACCAGGCATCCCCAGCTTCTTGCTGCTTAGCAACGTAAGGGATTTCCTAATATGGCGAAGCGGCCAGGTTGCTCTGCGCGGAGGGGCGTGTCCTCCGCGCACGGTGCTTCCTGCTTTCTCCCCACGCTTCGTGTGAGAGACTTTCCCGTGCGGTGAGTTTTTGTTTGGCAGATTACGGCTTTCACAATGAATTCAGCTGATTCGTTACAGTGGGATTATTTCTCACACGTCTGCGCGGCGGCGGCGTGAGCAGCTGCACACATCGGTCCCCCCCTACTGCAGCAAATGGATCAGGACTGTTCCACTCCCGAGTTTTTTTCAGGGGTGTGTGAGGTCTAATAATAAAGTGCCGCCGAAGTTGCCGCTCCACTACGCAGGCTTTATTGTCACGTTACCTGTGTATATTTAGCGGACCTGGAGCGGCTCCGTGTGATCGCCACAACGCCGGTGTGGCGCGACGCACTTCGGTTGCGTTTGGTGTTTTGCGCACCGCAGTCGGTGTGATCTCGGTCTGCTGGGGCCGCTGGGGAAAAGTCAGCCTGCTGCTCACTCACGATTTACAGCAAAGTTTTTGCTGGCGTGTGTGGTGTTGTGAGGATTTGCTGTTCTCCTCACTGCAAACTTCTGCCCTCTCTCTCTCTGTGTCTCTCTTTTAGGTCTACGGTTTATTCGAAGGCATGCTGGAGAAACTTGAACTAGATGATGATGGTAAGTGCTGACCAAGTGCTCTCTTTTACTACTTTAAACACTGTTAGTCCTGGTTATGTGAAGGTGATCTGGTGTTCCAGTGCTGCTGTCAGATGACTTGAGAGTGAATTCAGTTTTAGAGAATCTGTCCACAGTGTGATGCTGCTTCTGTTTAGTCCAGAGGTGCAGTGATTCGTCTGAACTGTGTCAGAAATTTGATGGATTCCCTCTTTAGACTTCAGATTTCTGGCCTTTTAATAATATCTGCTCATTAAACTGTCTCTGAATGAATGTTAGATACCTGTGTGAGAGGCTGCTTGGAGTTTAAAAACATTCAACAGGCATCAGATGTGATTTTTATTATTGTGATTAAAAGTTTTAAACATATTATCTTTGCAGCATCTATTGAAGGTTAGCAGTTGTTTTCAAATTATTCGTCGCGACAGTTCAAACATCGTTTTGGGGAGACTCGTATATGCAATATTAATGTTTTTTCTCCATGATGCATGAAACCATTGCTTCATTTATCAGCTCATTTGCTCAACGTTTCACCACCACATGTTGGAAATAATTGCCGTAATCTTCAAACCGCCTCATCTGTGAAGGATCTTCGGTACTTTGCCGTCCATGTTTTTCCACTGTTTGTGTGCTTGTTGGTGCTTAAGGCAGAGCGTAATTATCTGTAAGATGGAGCAGTAAAGTGGCAGTAAGTGGTCCAGGTCCAGTAATGGTTGTTTAGGCTGTGCGTGTTGTTTCCAGGCCCTCATTATACATTCCCTGTGAGATTTCTCCTTCCTCTAAAAGTGTTTTCTTGCCTCTTTTCTTTCCCCCCTGTCTTCTTCTTACAGCTGCTGAACCTGAGAGTGATATTTACATGCGCTTTATGAAATCCCACAAGTGCTACGATATCGTTCCCACAAGCTCCAAGTTGGTTGTGTTCGACACGGCGCTCCAAGTTAGTATTATAATATATTCTCACTTTGTCTTTTTGTGACAACCCCAAACATAACCTGACAGACTGCGAGCTGACTTAATCTGCCGTGGAGTGCTGCAGTAGAGTTGCAGCGGCATTAAATGTCATAAAGTCGTGGCCGTTTGCGTGCAGACAGAAGTTTTATAGAATTTTGAGGTTGTTCGTCTTGAGAACCGAAACAGTCAAAGTTAATGTTCAATAAAACAAGCCGAAGTGTTTTACCTCAGAGCAGTTTCTATGAACCGGTTGATCAAATTGTCATAAAGCTGTTAAACACTAATCCCGGGAAGGTCAAACCTCTTTGATGCGTAGATCTTTAACCACAAATTATACTGACACTGAGAGCTAAGAATGCTTATCTCACAAAAGGTCCAACACAAAGCAACCAGGAGGTTAGCCTGCATGTCACAAGAGATATTAAGGCTTTTTCCTAGTCATGAGAATGTGACGGAAACAGAACAATGTTGTCATGTGATAGTCAGGACTGCAACTGGATTATTTTTGATTTATCTTTTTGTTTTTTCTTAACTGTTAGTCCACAACCTGCAGTCCAAAACCTAACAGACGATTGAATTACTGATTTATTTTTTTTGCTTGACTGAACAACTGATTTGATTATTCTATTATCAAAATTGTTCCTCACCAATTTTTCTGTTGATATTTATAGAAAAATAGGCAGTTTTGTCTCCAGAAAGATAACCACATGTTGTGAGATATCTTGTTCAGTCTGGTCTTATGCTGTGTTTTTTATTTCAACTGTTGCATCGCAGGTTAAAAAAGCGTTTTTCGCCTTGGTGGCCAACGGTGTGCGAGCTGCTCCGCTATGGGACACAGAGAAGCAAAGCTTTGTGGGTAAGAACCCTGAAAAATGGAAAGTCTGCTGAAATTCAGGGACTCGAATGATTGTTAATACTGTGTATAGAATTCTAATAATAATTGATCAGATTTATATAGCGCTTTTCTCGGCACTAAGAGACACTTTACACTGTCAGTTATTCATTCACACACATTCATCCCGGTGGTGGTAGCTACAATTGTAGCCACAGTTGCCCTGGGGCAGACTGACAGAGGCCCGGCTGCCATTCTGTGCCTACGGCCCCTCTGACCACCACCTCAAACAACTCATTCATACGAAGTGTCTTGCCGAAGGACACATGGACCATGACACAGGTTACAGGGCGGAATCGAACCGCCGACCTTCCGATCATTGACCGACTCGCGCTACCGCCTGAGCCACAGCCGCCCAGAATCATGTGTTTATATACTTTAAAGCAGTTTGTGTAAGAAACAGTTATGTTTGTATTTATTTGCAGGTTTCGGTTTGTCATGTTTTACATCAAGTTTGTCCTGTTAGACAGACAAAACACTGCCACAGAAATTAGTTTTTTGGGCCAAAATTCAAACGCTAACCTTTATTTATTTCTTTTAACTGAGATGGAAAAGGATCTTGTTGTGCCGATGTGCCACCCGTAAATGAACACAGAGGAAACTCTATGCATTACTGCCGCTGGTCGTGGCTAGCGGAGCGTGATGCTATATTGAGCAGAAGTCATTAGCGCTGTCATAAACCATTAAGCACAGCAACGACTCCTCTGTATTGACCTGAGTTTAGATAGGTTGGAAAAAAAAAACATCTCTGCAGAATCACAGACAAATAAACCCTCTGTTAGTTAGACCGAGCCGAAAAGAAAGCCAGCCCTGATTTGATGTGCTTTATTGCAAGTCAGACTGTAATGAATAATGAATGCCGAGTCAGTGTGAGAATACAGCAGAGGGGGGGATTCAGTGATGTGTTGTTTGAACCACGCCCTTGTACGCGCCGGCTCTACCCGGTTGCACAATGCCTTCAGGCTCGGCTCTGTATGCTGCTTATATATTCAATGCATTTTAATGCCTGTTTTCTTTGCAGGAATGCTGACAATCACAGATTTCATCATCATACTACACAGATACTATAAGTCACCAATGGTAGGTCCACTTGACACATGAGGTTTGCATGAGATTTCTTGTTTGTTTTTTTAAAACTAACTTCTTTTTTTCCTCATATTTCAGGTGCAAATTTATGAATTAGAGGAGCATAAGCTTGAGACGTGGAGAGGTAAGTGTTGTTTATGTTATGTCCTTGTTGCATGCATACATTATGATTTTTCTTTCATTTTTTATTAACAATATAACTAACTACCATCTTTTATTCTTTGCTATACAGAAGTTTACCTTCAAGCCACATTCAAACCTCTGGTTAACATATCACCGGATGCAAGGTACGTTTTCTGAACTATCATATAAATAGTAATGTTTCGGTGCATATTTGTGCGTGCCAGCAGATTTGACTGTGCTCCTTGTAACTAATCGTGGCGTTTGCTATGTTTGCAGCCTGTTTGATGCAGTGTACACCCTCATCAAAAACAAAATTCACCGCCTGCCTGTCATCGACCCTGTCACAGGGAATGCACTTTATATTCTCACACACAAGAGGATCCTCAAGTTCCTCCAGCTGTTTGTGAGTCCAACACATCATCACACGTCACTGTCAGTCCGTCGGTGGATGAGTGTTAACTGGCGTAGCGGTTTTTTAATCAATATGATGATTTGTTTAGGCAAAGGAACCTTTAAAGTGCTCCTCATGTCTCGTCCCACTTTCATTTGTCTGGCGCTCCCTAGTGGTCAATGTGGAAACGACTCATGTATTTTTGATGAATCGTGTTAACGGCGATGTCTTTCGGGCCTCATTTTGCGTGCGTGTTTGTGTGTCTCAGGTGTGTGAAATGCCAAAGCCAGCTTTCATGAAGCAGACTCTCGGTGAGCTGGGGATTGGTACGTACCATGAGATCGCTTTCATCCACCCAGACACACCCATCATCAAAGCACTCAACATCTTTGTGGAGAGACGAGTGTCTGCTTTGCCGGTGGTGGATGATTCAGGTGAGATGGCAAGCTGCAGTGCTCTCTACACATCTGATTCATTTTAGTAAATTAATGTTCGCACTCACGAGAATTCTTTTTTTCCCCTCTGACAGGCAAAGTTGTGGATATTTACTCCAAGTTTGATGTGATTGTAAGTTTAAAATTACAGCATTTTAGAGGTTAAACTCTCTGATTTATTGTTTGTATTTTGTTGTTTGCGTCTCACATTTGTATGTTTGTGTTTGTAGAACTTGGCCGCTGAGAAGACGTACAACAATCTCGACATCACAGTGACCCAGGCTCTGAAACATCGCTCTCAGTACTTCGAAGGGGTCGTGAAGTGCCACAAAATGGAAACGATGGAGACTATTGTGGACAGAATAGTCAAAGCTGAAGTAAGAGTTTGAAAACACAGATATGAACACACATCTAGTTCCACAGAAGCAACTTCAGGACTGATTTTAAGTTCATCTCCAACTGTTTTTCTGCCAGGTACATCGGCTGGTGGTGGTGGACGAGCGCTCCAGTATCGAGGGCATTGTTTCCCTGTCAGACATCCTCCAGGCTCTGGTGCTCAGCCCTGCAGGTATAGATGCTCAGCATTGCTAGCCCCAACTCCCTTTCTGTCCTGGACCCTGAGCTCTCTCCCCCCACCTGCCCCCTAACCCTGCCCCAGGTAGGAAACACGGCTGTTCGCCTCGTGGCTGGCTGTGAGGACGCATGGTGCCCGTCCCGCGTCTTGCTTGTCCTGCTGGGTGCCGCTTTGTGCAGCAGTGTTTGTGTGGACAAAGAGCCCGTCATCCTGTGTCGAGACAGGAACTCGCTGTTAGAAAACATGCTGTTCTTTTATGCACAAATTGACTGTCTGGTCTCTGTCTGATGCACTGAAATATAGTAATTGGCTTTCAACAGACAGGGGTTTCATGCTCAGTGGTATGAATAGATGGAACAGTGCAGGAGTAAATATTGTCTAAGTGGGTTAAAGAGGGACTCCACTGATTTTTACACATCAGGATTTATTGAGTGCTACTGTGTGTGGAGGAAAAAAGGTTTATAGAAGCTTTCATAACTTAAGATGAGAATCTAACAAAATTTCCTCAAGTGACGCTGCTTGAGGTAGCGGCTGAGGCCTTGAATGTAAACTCTGCTGCCCGCTCATCATCTCTGCTCAAGGCTGGAAGATCAAGATGAGTCGCTACTAGCATAGCACACACTAATCAAGGACTAAACTGTTGCACATCAAGTTGCATTGTGGGTATGTTTTAGCAGGGAAGGAGACTGCATGGAATGAAAAAGACGACATCTGTGCTTCAGTTGCATCTTCGTGTTTTTTTTTTAACTGTCCATCTGACAGTGTGATGAAAGTTCTGTTACTCAGTGAAATGCTCCTAAAGCGTTGAGGGCAGATCACGGAAACATTTGCAAAGTTGCTGCCACAGTGAGCTGAGATTCATGAGCCCTCTGCTCTCCCAAGCAGTTTCTGGGCAACTGCTGCTCCTGACACATTTTTGCTCACTGTGGGCTCGTTTTTTTATTGATATATAAAGTTCTGCACGTTTATGGAAACAGCATGACCATGGTCAGAAGTAGAAAAAAAAACTCTGTGCAGTATGACACAGTTACAAAAACCATAGAAGAAGAAAAAATAAAAATGGAATTTCTTTGATCACTTATTTACCAAAAAAAAAAAAAAAAAGAAACCTGGACTCAACATGTACAACATTTTCCAAGCACCCACAGTTGTTGCCAGCATAATACTTACATTATTCAAATTTATTTTTCATATTTTTCTCCTACCTGCTATGTGCAAATTCTTTCTGCAGTTCAGCCTCAGAGTCCCTGAATTTTTGTCCCATGATGTTGGGTGACAGCTCAGTCATTAATGGCTTTGTTGTTGGAATATTTTTTTTTAACAGAATCTGATCAGAGCCAGCAATTTATGGTACATTTTTGGTAAATTTTGATTTGAGACATGTAGAATACAGTGATTTTTGCTGAAATATGACAATTTTAAGCTTAGGTTTGGTTAAGTTTTGCAATAAATCAACATCAACATCATAGATGAGTAGTTCAAGGACCCTCGGAATGTTTCAAATCCAACAATTCTTTCTCTTCCATGCATAGAGTAATGTTTGTCATATTTTTTTAGCAGGACTTGGGGTTTCACATTCTACACACTGTACACATCATCATGTTGTCTGTATATCAGCGTTTGTTTAAGTTGCTGGAGTTTGGGTTGTTTTGAGTCAGTATTCAAAAGTTGTTAACCTCGTGGCATTCAAACTTGGTCCAAAGATGAGCCCAGCGACACCACATTCAAATTTGTGGTGCGGCTTGTTATGCTGCTTCATGAACAGGATTTTCCACTGTGGTTTGTTTTCCGGCTGTTAAATTTACGGCACACAACTAATCGCAATCTGTTTCATGTAGAAGCTTTTTTTTTTTTCACGCCACATGTTCTGCTCGGTTAACGCTCGGTTTGTGCTGCGCAGACGTAGCTGCATTTTTCCGGTGGTGAACTCTACTTTGATGTGAAGTGTGTTTTGTGTTAGGGTTAAGAAAATAACATTCTCACACAGTCGTAGCGTCGGAGGCTGCTGCGTGTTCAGGTTTTCACTCCATCGGATCAGAGTTGGAGCTTAATGCAAAGAAAACATGACGTGTCGGCATTAGTTATTCCATAAATCCTCTGCTTCTCATTATGCAGTCATTTATTTTCATGCATTGACACGTCCGTAATCATGTCAAACCGCTGCAGATTCTGACTAAACAAAGTCCGATGGGGCAGCTGTGGACGGCTTCAAAATGAATAATAAATTTTGTTTTTGAAAACAGGAAGCTCGGTTTAGACGCGACTACGTGCTGTACAAATAAAAAGCAGGCAGAATTATGCTTCCTCCTCCTTTTTATTGACTTTATTTCTGCTAATTATGTCCTCACAGAAGCACAGAGTTGAGCAAAAACAAAGTAGTTAAAGCTGGCATGTAAACATGGATTTGTAAAGACATTTAAAAAAAGACGGAGTAGCTTCACCCTGCTGTAGAGCGGCGTGCTAGTTAGACCATTGCTGAGGTCGCATTATGCAGCATTTCATAATGGAATAATGGATAACGGAGAGATTTTCATTCAGGTAAACGTTTGTTACGTCGCTATCTGTCACCGTAAAGTCACATAATGAGGAATGAGCCACTGATGGATTTATATCAAAGCTTTACTGTGTTATAAACTGGATGTATTCACGTCTAAAATCACACATGTTCCATCACCCTGCGGCTGCGTTGGTACTTTTACTTCAACATGTACTAAGGGTGTGTTCCAGTGCCCGTATTACTGTACTATATAGTATGCCAGGATAAATGTAGGACATCCCTATAAATGCTATGTCAAATGCAGCATGCATAAAGAGTCTCGTGCAGTTATAAACATGCTCAAACTGTCTGTGAAGATTCTCAGTCAACCAGGTCATGGTTATTCCCCGAGATTAATCGACTGGACTTGGTTGAAGACGTTCCACCCCTCATCCAAGAGGCTTCATCAGTTCTGTCTGACTAGTTGGGACTTCCAGGTACTTCTATCCTTAAGGATCCATTAACACCTGAGTTTCGGTTTCAGCTGGAGGGTTTGTTGCGCCTCCCCCTCGTCGTGTTGTCTGCATCTCAGGTTGAAACGTAGATGATTCCTGTAGTCTACAAGTTTTCTGGAAGTTCTTTCATTCTCCCGCACCGGTCGAAGGGTGTTCTTGTGAAGATTCTCAGTCATCCAGGTCATGGTTATAAGAGGGGAGCAGGGTTGGGAACCCCCCAACTGAAACCAAAACTCAGGTGTTAATGGATCCTTAAGGATAGAAGTATCTGGAAGTCCCAACTAGTCAGTCAGAACTGATGAAGCCTCTTGGATGAAACGTCTTCAAGGAACGCAACCAAGTCCAGTTCCTACGATTACACTACGAGAATGCTCAAACTGCCAAGAGCACACGGACACACGACAACTCACTTCACACTATGGACTGCGAAGGATGTATGATGGTTAAAGCTTAAAGCACAATGTTATGATGAAGCCGTATGTGTAGCTCATACTAAATAGTAAGCTAGTAGGGGTATTTGAACACACCGTCTCCCTGCAGGTAACGAAACAGGTTCAGCTCGCTTGTGTATGAGGCGGTTTTCCTCCACTAGAGTTACAAGTAAACGTCTCTGTGGCCAAACAAACTCAACAAATGTCACACACACTGGATCTTTGAGAGGTCATATTCATACCATTTATCACCACTGGTGCCGCCAAAGTCAACAAAACATCTTTAAACCGTCTCTACTACGTTGTATTGATTTCTGCTTCTCCGTTGACTCATACCTTTCCTCTTCTTCTCCTCCGCAGATGCCTGTAAGGAGGAGAACCTGATTGAATGAGTTGGGAGTGCATCAGCTTGAGCGGAGACGTGGTGGGAGTAAACAAATTGAAAGGTTAAAGTCGGGAGTGTGTGAGGCTGAGTGGAGCCGGTCTGGAGTTCCCAGAGACGCCTGCACCTGATGCACTATAAAGGCTTGGAATCCAAAGAGCTGAGTGAAGTGGAGTTCTGCACTGAGGATTACAATTTTTTATTATTTTTATTTTTGGGGTTCATTTTGTTTGTTTGAACACTGATCAGATGCACACACGTCATTACAGTTACCGTGTAAAGTATATAGACACACACTTTCTCTCTCACACTTACAGACAAACGCACCACAGTCCCTCAAGGTGGAAAAGTCGAGTCGGGTTCTAATGAATTCAGGCTCCAGTGTTTTTGTTTAGTTACCAGTCAGATGATGTAAGTCACGTATTGTGGTTGACACCGAATGTCGTCACCTCGCAGGAGAACTTCTCCGTGGAAAGGTGAACGTTCACAGATGCACCTGGGTTTGGTGGCCGAACTACACGTCGGCTACAGGGAGGCTGTTTAAAGACGGTTCATTAAAAAAACGGAATGTTAGCCGGTGCCAACATGGAGCCCAAACTTTATTTGTGCCTTTTTTTTTTTTGTTTTACCATCTCCACATGGGTTTTGTGTCCTTTGAATTTGTGTTGACAAGCGAGTGCAATGATTTGGGATTGTATAGAAGGTGGATGTGTAACATTGAAGTGGAAGATTTTCTACTGCGAAGATTGTTCATGTATTTGGTTGCATTTTTTTTTTGTGACTAAAATTTAATTTCAGTTAAATCAAACTAAATCATTTTGGCAGTTCTCAGACGAAAACATAACTGTACATTAACGAGGATTCAGCCGAGAGCTGCGAGCGACTGCTTCTCGCTCGTCACTTCGTGAGTCTAAAGATGCTAAGAATAATTTTTTTTTTTACATTTATTTTCGGCGGTTTTGATGCTTCAGATAATCCGTCGCTTGGTTATCTCAGCTGGAGCGCGACAGAACTCATCTCCATCTTTGACTGTAAATAGGATAGTTTTTGGGAAACGTGTCACAGAAAGCTTTATTTTTATGAATGTGTCAACATGTTTAAAGAGACTGCAGTTTTAATGTTATTTTTGTAAATATATTGTGGCGATATGTCTAGTTGAGAGAACCTTTGTATCAGATCAACATGTACTGTAAATGTGCAAGCATGAGAAAACTACACTTCAGCAGTATGAATGTTATTTGTTTTACTTTTTCTATTTTTCTGGCTGCAGAAAAATAAACGGACACTGAATGTACTTTAACAAAACTTTCCTTTGTGTTTTTTTTTCCTCTCTGTGTACTGGTGATAAATGGGAACACAGTTTTTAATGTGTTTGAGATGGAAAATCACAACAACTCTGAAAACTGAAACACACAAGAAAGACTTTGCTGGTTAAATACAGATTTTTATAGTAAAGAGACCCTCCTGCCCTGTCATTGGTGGGTTGTACATACAGTAGCTCTGTAAGTTTGACCTGATCCCTATATTTAGAGTCTTCCGCTGATTGAAGGAGCCTCCACTAAGTCAGATAGTTCACCAATCAGCATGAAGCAAATCACCAGATCATGAATAAATTAAAGCCGCAAGC